TGTACGGTAGACTATTTTGAAATATTTTTTAAAGTTTAAAGACTATTTAAAAAAAATTTTCTAGATTAAAATAAAATTAAACTTGTAGTTAATAGACTAAAAATTGAATTAAACCGTTCTTAATTTGGAATTGTTTCAGAAACTGTAATAATCATGAAACATGAGGTTCTCAAAAAAAAGGAAAAAATGAGGCACATACATAACTACACTGTATTTAAAACAAGAAATGTTAAGTATATTCTCTTTTATACTTTTTTTAAAAAAACTTCTTATATAATTAGGACATGTAATACATAAATTTAATATAATTAATCATAATTTTAAATTGTTAAAATATTAATATTAATATTAATTATTAATTATATTAAATTTAAATTTTATGTAATTAAATTATATAAACAAATATTTAAAAGAAAGTGAGAGTGAAAATGTCCTGACACTTCTCAATCCTCATCTAAAAATATTAGTTTAGAATAAGAAAACACAAATACTTATTCCGTCCAGAGAAAAACGTACTAAAAATTTAGTTTGTCTTTTTTATTCCAAATAAACATTTTTAAATACAAAGCGGAAGAAAAAAAAAAAGATTCTGATTCAAAAATATACTTACGAAGGGTGAAATAAAAAGAACCTGTAAAGGGACTTTTTTCGTTCAACCAAAAAAAAGAAAAGAAAAGCTGTAAAGAGAAGTTGACATCTACGATCCCTTTGAATCTTGGGCAAAAGGTACCAATTTGCCCCTGAACTTTTCGACTTGTAGGATTTTTGCCCTCCATATTAAAATACATGGATTTTTACCCTCAATGTTTTCGAGTTTGAGGAAATGAGGAAAAATTTAACGCCGGAGCTCACGTGTAGCACGTGCACCGTTGGTCTCCGTCAAGTATGCGCATGTCAGCGCCAACTCAGAATTTTTTGACAACCTGGCATGCCAACTTGGAATCCCACGAGTGGGAAGTCTATTTGCTGCCAATTTTTTTGTGGGTTCCACCGCTGACTAAAAGTTAAAAAAAAAAAAGGTTAAATCCTCGATTCAGTCCCTTAACTTTCATTTTTAAACTAAATTTACTTTGAACTTCAAAATATTGTGACTTGACACCAAAAATATAATTTAATAAATAAAAATTTCTTTTTTTCCTTTTTTCTTTCCTTTCCTTTTTTTTTCTTTTTTTAAATTTTTTTATAAATGATAATTAATTAACGAAATTGTGTGACTGAAAAATCCACTTTACAAAAGAAAAATGACATGGATATATTTTTGAGTCTACGTCAATATTTTCACCCTTTTGGTTTTTATTTTTATTTTTTAACCTTGCTGGGTTCGTCGCGAACCCACCCAGATGTGCGCTGGGTTCATGACAAGCCCACGCCCGAACCCAGGCGAGCGTTGGGGTCACGATGAGCACACGTTGGGTTGGTGACGAGTGCGTCGCCAAACTCAGGCGCGAGCTAAGTTTGCGACAAACCTAGTTTGCGCAACCTAGGACAAACCTAGGTGAGTGCTAGGTACATTCTTCGCAAACCCAGGTGCACGCTTGGGTTCGGGTGTGAGCTCATTGCGAACCCAGCAAAGTTAAAAAAAAAAAAAAAAGGCCACAAGGGTGAAGATGTTGACGTGGATTCAGAAATATGTCTACGTCATTTTTTTTTACATAATGAACTTTTCGCGTCACACAATTTCGTTAATTAACTGTCATTTATTAGAAAATTTAACGAGGGCCCAAAAAGAGCCAAATTTCAATCTTTAGAGACTAAAAAAGAGATTTTTTTTCAGTATAGGAATAAAAGTAAGTTTTTTTTTTCAATAGTAAAGGGATAAAAAATGGTATTTAGGGCCTGTTTAGTACAGTATTAAAATTCAACGGATAGCGGATAGCAGTAGCGGGTAGCGGGTGACGGTTAACGGATAACGGATAGCGGATAGCAGAAAGTGGGTAGCGGATGGTAAATAGCGGATTCAATAAATATAATTGTTTGGTTATACAATAGTTAGCGGTTGTTGTTTAACATTAAAT